AGAGAGAGAGAGAGAGAGAGAGAGAGAGAGAGAGAGTATGTGTGTGTGATTTCTTTTTAAAGTCTTCATTCTTGTGACTTGGGATAGAAGTCAGCTCATGGATCATCTGTGATGGTGACATTGACCCCGAATGGATAGAGTCTCTGAATTCTGTTCTGGATGATAATCGGCTGCTCACCATGCCCAGTGGAGAAAGGATTCAGTTTGGCCCAAATGTTAACTTTGTATTTGAAACTCATGATTTAAGCTGTGCTTCACCAGCCACAATATCTAGAATGGGAATGATATTTCTTAGGTAAGCCACAGATTATTTCTATATATTAGAATACTCTGTGTCATTTTGATTCCATAGGTAAGTTAAGAATAGAATGAATAATTTATACATGTTGATTGGATCTATGATTAACTTTTTTGGTTGGATTTTAATTGATTTAGAATTTGTTTTATTATATATAAATTATTTTGGCCATTTGGTCAAGTATTGTTTTCTTTAAGAGAAATAGCAAGTACTTCATTTCCTTTAAAAAGATTTTAAATGCCGTGATTGGATTCAGAGATGTAAACATACTTAATAAGTACTAATCCATGGTATTTAAATCCTAGTTGCATATCCTAGTTACAGAGTTACAAATTCATAAGAGTTTAGCACTAATATAGGTATAATAGGTCTTTTAGCCTAACCTTTGCATTTTACAGCTTGACAACCTCTTTTCTAAGTATTTTCTTACTTTTTCAGTGAACTAAGAAGAGGTTTAAAGAGCAAAAATGAGTACGAATTAGTTTTAAATGTCTCATACTCAGTTATATGTATTAACTAGTTTTAGAAGTTATACACATGCACACACACAAACACAAACACAAACACACACACACACACACACACACAAGGATGTCAAAAGTGTTGGCTTTCTGTGCTGACAGATGGACACTTGATGGAATGATGTGTATAGGAGCAGGAGTTTGAACAGTTTCTTCCTGAATCATTGACATGTTTGTGTTAATCCTTGTAGTGATGAAGAGACAGATCTTAACTCTCTGATGAAATCTTGGCTGAGGAATCAGCCTGCTGAATACAGAAGTAACCTTGAGAACTGGATTGGAGATTATTTCTCAAAAGCTTTACAGTGGGTTTTGAAGCAGGTGAGCTGACAGGTACTTCATAATCAGAGGGATGTGTAATTGGGAATCCGTGTTACTTCCTGATCAGTGAGGGGCTGTTTAGTTGGGCATCTGTGGTACTTCGTGATCAGTGTGTAGGGGGGATATATAATTGGGAATTGTGCCTGCGTTTGCTGCCTTGTGGTAGCGCTCTGCTGGGACCAGTGTGTAGAGAGGGTGCCGTCACTGCTGTCCCTTTCCTGTCCACGCATGTTACTTTTATTAGCTAGTCGTAAGATGGCTTCATTTTTGTATCTATAGAATCTTGCCTAGCTTACCTAAAAAGCTTGGATTACTAGAATGTCTTTCTCTTAGTGGGAAAGCCATCTTGTCTCATTTTACTGTTCTTTTTTTTTTTTTAAGATTTTATTTATTTATTATGTATACAACATTCTGCTTCCATGTATATCTGCACACCAGAAGAGGGCACCAGATCTCATAACGGATGGCTGTGAGCCACCATGTGGTTGCTGGGAATTGAACTCAGGACCTCTGGAAGAGCAGTCAGTGCTCTTAACCTCTGAGCCATATCTCCAGCCCCATTTTACTGTTCTTAATTACTCTGCTGTGCTTCCCTGTCATGAATGACTGAAGGTTCTGAAACTGTGAGATCATGTTATTTCATGTTTATTATTAAGCTTAATAATGCATTATTAAGCTAATAAAAATGCAAATACAAAAGGGACAGTGAGTTACTTGCAGTAATATATGAAACATTTGCTTATGTAATAAAAATTGCCACCTGGATTTGGAAAGTTTAATACTTGAAGGACTGAGATGAAAGCTACTAAGATCATGCCTTCCAAGAGGACACTGTCTCTGGGCTGTGAATGCCATGTAAACACATCATCATCGTCCCCCAGCATGGCCAGAATACTGCTGTGTGAGAATGCTTTACTATGAGACATGAGTTGACCCTTAGCTTGAAAAAAAGATTGTAGGGGGTTTCCATACATACATGAATTAAAAAAAGAAAGCTTTATGTGGCTTTTCTTTAATGTTATTAATTTTATGAAAAACTTAAACATATTAAACAGAAATTAAATACCACAAGTGTCTTTGAAGTCACATGACAATCTAAACTTGATCTAGAGGTCAGTTTTTTTATATTGATCAAAATACATAAAAATGGAGAATTTGCTCTAGATTTGTCATCCTTTTTGTGTTTGGTTTTCTTCTTTTGTGAGGATGAAAGCTGGAGAAATTGAGATGGGTATTAAAACATTGTACGTTAGTTTTTCCCAGTCCTTGTAGAAGGAAGGCTTTCCTGCTCCCAAGTCTGATGAATGTGTTTCTCTTCCTTGCTTCCATCCTAACACTCTATACCTTTTTACGTATCTGTCTGCACTCTCCTGGAAGTTCCCTGAGGGCAGGACCAAACTTGTAGTGCCTCATAGTGAGTTCGCAGAGCAAGCTTATTAAGAGGAGTGAACGGGCAGTGGTACTGGTGCTGAGATGCCCGATGCCTCTGACATCTTTTCACCACATAGCATTATTTCATTAAAGTAAGAAGTACAGAGCCTGCCAGTACTGATGCCTGAGGTCTGTTAACTTACTGAGTTAATACCCATGTGAGTGTTTGAATAAGAGTGTACTGCTAGATAGAATATACTTAAGTATGAGATTTGATGAGACAGGTTAAGATGGCTAAGTCCTAGAGTAGATGGAAGAGAGCCAGAAAAGAATTGGGTCATGTTTGTACATTGTAGCAATTACTTTTGTGTCCCTAAATTCAGTCAGGAAAGAGATTTTGGCTCATAGTTTCAGAACTTTTAGTCCATCAGGGTAGAGTTGATGGTGGTCGTGGCAGTGGTGGCTGGGGCTGGGGCTCCTTGAATCACTGTGCTTCATGTTAGTGGCAAAAGGAAACAGAGAAAACAGGCCAGAGCTAGGTGATTGTAAATGTGAATAAAGGGTTGCTTTTAGGGACCGACTTCTACCAACTGGATCTCGCCTGGTAAAGATTGTACCTTCACAACAATGTGACAGATTGGAGTCAGGTCTCAAAACATGAAAGTGTGGGTGGGCATTTCAGATGTGAACTACACCTTGCCTCTGTCTAAAGCTCCAAAAATGTATATGTATATTCTTCAGACTGAGAATGTATGTCATGTAATTACTTGAAAATTCTAGCATTTAAAGCTCAAAATAACATAAGCACTTTTTCTGCTCTGGTTCTATGAATTTTAATCAACAGAATGACTATGTCGTAGAAACAAGTTTGGTTGGGACTGTGATGAATGGTTTGTCCCACCTCCATGGAAGCAAAGATCATGACCAGTTTATTATTAATCTTATACGAGGACTGGGTGGGAATCTGAACATGAAGTCTCGTCTAGAATTTACCAAGGAGGTAAGGGACTTTTTCAGCCTCTTTCCAGCCACCATTCTTCAGCTTTTCCTGACCCTCAAGTCTCAAAACACAGTGATGCAATGCTAAAGTATGCAACCTTCAAATAATGAACTTATGCATTTGGTAGACTAACAGGACATATGCATTTGTATGGGTCTACACGTATGTTTGTGTGTGTATACATGGTTTTGTGCATCAAACTTAGGATTTCTGACATTCTTAAATTTTTATGGCATCTTATAATAAGCTAAGGCTTGGAGCATAAAAGTATAAGTTAGGCTTGAATTTACTTAGCCATGTAAATATATTCCAGTATTTCATTTAGCTTTAATTTTATAAAAATACAGTTTTGAAATAATCCTTTTAAATAGAATAGTGTTAGCACTTAGAAATGGTGGAGTATTTTTAACTATTTCTCTAATAATGTCAGATTGTATTTGAACTAGTTGTGTAAAATCAAGTTTTATATAAGGGACTTTTCTTTTTCTTATGTGTGTAGATGTTTTCGTGCATGTATGTCTGTACACCACACGCATGCCTGGGCCCGTGGAGGCCAGAATACTAGGTTTGATCCCCTGCACCTGGAGTTGCGATGGTTGTGAGCATCCATGTGGGTGTAGAGAATAGAACTTGGGTCCTCTGGAAGAGCAGCCAGTGCCCTTAACCATCTCTCAGGCTCCAAAGGGACTTTCTCCTGTGGAATGATTAAATAAGACCACACATTGTTCCATTTGCTGCTGTTTAGTGCCATCATTGGTGCTGTCTCTGTTCTGCTTGCTTTTCTATGGCAGTGTGTCCTCTTGCCTCTCACTGTCACTGCTCAGAACCTTCCCGTATGCTACTCTGAAACATTCTTGGGTACACACAACAGCTTTCAGTGTCAAGGGGTAGAATAACCTATTTGTGGGTGTAGCTGAAGTCAGTTCTGGAAATGTTGGAAATAAAGGACTTTAGCATTCCTGAAATCGATAATTTGTGAGAGAGCCTTTAAAAATTGGATGTATTTTCAAATTTGATCTGTAAATATCTATCAAATTAGTAGCTTCATGTTTATTTTTATTTTACTTCATATCATGTTGAAGTAAAATACTATTTTAATTAAAAATTTGCTTAGAAGCAGTGTGTATACAAACTTTAACAAGATGATATACTGTGGAGATACTCCTTTTGATGGATTGAACAGTTACCAACTGTTTGGTATACATAAAACTCCTAGTTACAATGTTTTTCTCTCAAGGTTTTTAACTGGGCACGGGAATCTCCTCCAGACCCTCACAGACCGATGGATACCTACTATGACTCTGATCGAGGACAGTTAGCATCCTACATGCTTAGGAAACCAGAGAGCCTGACAGCTGATGACTTCAGCAGTGGCCATACCCTCCCTGTCATCCAGACTCCCGACATGCAGCGGGGCCTAGATTATTTCAAACCTTGGCTGAGTTGTGATACTAAACAGCCATTTATTCTCGTAGGACCAGAGGGATGTGGCAAAGGGTAAGCATGCTTTCAAAGGTGTGCATGGTAAGTGTGTCTTCTACCCCAAGGACTCAACAGTACATTGTTTCTTTTGTTGAAAAAGCACTTAGTTTTATGAAGGATACATTTCATTGTTACTTCTTGTTTAAGAAAAAATGACTAAAGAAAGGTGTCATTTTCTCTGCCAGATTGTGTGGTCTTAGAAAAATACTTTTTAAAAGATTTTGTATACACAGTCACAACAAAAATTGAATCCCTTATGTACACTTGTACATTACTGTGTGCTTTTGCCATATCAGTTGAGTTCCACTCTCTTACTAAAAATAATTTAGTAAGATGTAGTCTACTTGTGTTTAGTGCCCATATCATTTATGCTTTAGGAATAAACCTGAATTATTAGTTTTACATGTATGTTGGCAGAGTAGTGATTTTTAAAAATTCTATACAATCAGAGTAGTTAGCAAAACAAAACTCTTGGGGAACTTAAAGTCTTTCCATGAACTATGGGGGAACAAAACTAACATATTTTATACCTTGTAAAACTGAACTTATGAGGTCTGCAAGAATTCTAGGAATACTTTAAAATATGCATCCCCTTCCCCATAGTTTAAAAGTTAGAAAATTACCTTGGTGATTATAGAAACTATATCATATTCAGTATTTTCCTTTTCAACATAATCTGAAATAATTTAGAAAAAGGTATCGGTTCCATATTGAGTGTACAGAATGTTTTGTTGGACACATTTTCCAGCAACCCCACCCATCTCTCCTGAAATGTCACCTGTCTCTCGTAGGATGCTGCTCAGGTATGCCTTCTCTCAGCTCCGCTCCACGGAGATTGCCACGGTCCACTGCAGTGCTCAGACTACTTCTCGGCATCTCCTGCAGAAGCTGAGCCAGACTTGCATGGTAATCAGTACAAACACTGGCCGAGTATACAGACCAAAAGATTGCGAAAGACTTGTTTTGTACCTGAAAGATATCAACCTGCCAAAGCTTGATAAGTGGGGAACCAGCACTTTGGTGGCTTTCCTCCAGCAGGTAAGTCTTAGCAGCTGATCCGTTTGCCTGCAATTGCAACAAGTCTGCTGGCTTTCCTTATAGATACAAAATCTGTTTACCAGTTTTATCTAGCACATGTCATTAGAATTTAAGTTCATGAAATATTTAAGTCTTGTTCTAGGTCAGTCATTCTCCAATTAGAGATCTATTACTTATCCTCCCTCCCTAAAACAGATAGGGAATCAGCAGTGGGCACTGGGCAAGTCTTCACTCCATGTCTGACTCTGCTTGCCTCTGACAGTAGTCACTTTGTCTTTGGTTGTGTATCACATGTTCTCAATCAGTGTAAAAAAAGTTTCTTCCTGTATGTTCTTACATCATGTTAGAAGCTCTAGACTTTTAGAGTTTGCTATGTTTATATGGACTGTGCAGCTGTAGAATAAGATGATATAATATGGCAAAGTATGAAATATTTTCCTTATTATTTCCTGACTCCTGGCTTTTTTTTAATAATCACTAATAGATTTATAATAGTACTTGGGTTTTTACTGTTTAGTGGAGTGAAACCATTTTAAAGGAAGAGGATTCAGATAACATGAATTGAATATAGGGTAGAACAATATCAGTTTGCAGTGATGGAAAAATTTAAAATGTTTCCATCTTCAGTTACTGAGTCAGGTAAAAGGGTAATGGTTGCACTTGGAAATAATTAAAATATAGATAACACTGTATATTATGGTTAATCTCGATGGTCAAATTGACAAAATTTGTAATCACCATTACAAAAACACTCTTGGTATGTGTGCGAGGGTTTTCTAGAGTTGGTTAATTAAGGTGGTTAATTAAATAGAGTTGGTTAATTAAGTGCCACCCTCCATGTGGGCTTCACCATTTTGCTGGAAGCTAACTAAGTCAAACAGAGCAGGGATCTGGGCAGTAGAGTTCGACCCTGTTTTCTGACTCCTGCTGCCCTGCTGGCTTGCTGGGCAGATTGTGTCCCCTTAAACTGTAGGACAGAACTTGCCTGATGTGGCTTTTATCAGGTAAGTTGTCAGGGCTGGGAGACAAGTAATGAATGCAGGATGGTAATATGATTTGAGGAATCTAAAGTATAAACTATTTATGAGCATCTGTTTTCATATAGGTGTTGACTTATCAAGGATTTTATGATGAAAATTTGGAATGGGTTGGCCTGGAGAATATTCAGATTGTGGCCTCCATGTCAGCTGGAGGAAGGCTGGGCAGACACAAGCTGACCACCAGATTTACATCTATTGTCCGTCTTTGTGCCGTAGAGTATGTATCTTAGTAACAGTTTTTATTTGTTTACATTTTATTCAAGATATTCACCAAGAGTACTTCAAAATATAGAAAGTAAAATGGTTAAGCTGATAAATTTTTCCAAACTTGACTGTGGTTTAAAGTATGTAAGTGTTTTTATAGAACTCTGTGTGTTTGTACCCCTAAACGTCAGGAATAGGAGCTCACTGGTAATTTTAAGTCTGTATTTTTTAGTTAAGACATAGTATAATATGGTACCTGTTGTTGTGCTATGTGATGCTCTGACACATTATTTAATGCACAGTGCTTGAGTTAGTTTTAACATATATTTATCACTGTGATGAAAACACTCAAAGTTCTTTCTTTTTGCAGTAATGGGGATTAATCCTTGGGCCCCACTCATATTATCGGAGCTGTGTCCAGGCTACAGAACCCCTTCCTTTAATGGTGTGATGTGCCCACTCCACACTTAGACCTCCAGTTGCACACTAGACTTTCTTGCTGCTGTCCAGATACAGCTTCGCCTCATCCTCAGCCTTTCCCCAACCTGCTTACCTCTTTACTGGTTCCAGCCCCTGCAAATGATCATTGTACTCTCCACTTTTGTGAGAGCAGTATGCTTAGATTATGACAGAAACCATGTGCTGTCTTGCCTGTATTTCTGTGCTTTGTTTATTTTGCTTAACATAATTTCCTGTGGTATCCATATGGTTTGAAATGCTTTGGTTTCATTTTTTACATGGCTAACTCTTATTTCCTTCTGTATATGTACCACATTACTTTCACTCATCAATAGGTGAATACTTAGATTGTGGGCTTTATCTATCTATCTATCTATCTATCTATCTATCTATCTATCTATCTATCTATCTATCTATCCATCTATCTATCTCTATGTTTGGCTGTTGCAAATAATACTATAATACTACAGGAACCATTGGAGTGCAGATGGCTCTTAACCTTAATGTATTTTATTTCCTTTAAATGTATAAAACTGGTACATTTTAGACATAAATGTCTCACAAACTAATATTATTTAATTTTAATTAAATAGTTGAATCTGATGATTGGGGAGTTGGGTCATGTGAATTGGGATGGAATCTGTCTATTTCATCCATCTGCCCATCTTTGTGATCATGGATGGACTGGGACTTCTGAGTTCATAGCACTGTCCCTTACTAACCTTAGTCTACAAGTTCCCGATAACTATATTTTACCTATGAACATTAGTTTTTTTGAGATGTTATTGTTGCCAGTTAATTCACATGGAAATAAATTTTGGCTTGGGAGAAATAGGCTAATTTTTGTTGTGTTATTTATTTTCTTAGACTTCTGACCTGGATTACTGTTCTGTGTATAGTGGATTTTCAATTTTTGCTTTTAAATAGTTGGATTATCGTCTTCGATAAAGCCTTCCAGTTTTGGAGAACAGACACTGTGGAATCTATCCGGGTATTGCAGAGAGAGTAGGAGCTGACTCTGTTCTAAGTCCTCTGGGCAGCCCTGGGAATCAGGGAATAAGTGTAGTGTGAAAACATGTACTGTTATATCTTAATATCAAAATAGTAGTTTATGATGCTGATTTCTTCCAACTTCCTTGTTTCTTGTCTTCCTCCTTTAGTTACCCAGAAAGAGAACAGTTACAGACAATCTATGGAGCATATTTGGAAGCAGTTCTGCACAAAAATCTGAAGAATCATTCTATTTGGGGTTCTTCATCAAAAATTTATCTATTAGCAGGCTCTATGGTGCAGGTGTATGAACAGGTACATATGTTTGCGTTGGAGTTTCCAGTTCTGTTGGCTTCATCTTGGTCTTTGTGCTGAAGTCCTGGCTTTTCTTTCTTGTCATAGTACAGTGTGATAGATGGCACAGTAACATTGTATTCCAGTTCTAGGCTGCGGGAGCACAGATTCAATAACTGTGTGTATGGCAGTTAAGAAGGTAGTAAATTTGATCTGAATTAAAAAACAGTAGAAAAATCACAAACTATTTATAGATGAAGTTTTGTTAGGTAAAAGGCATAGTATGTGTAGTGCTTGTGAAAGGCTCTTAGAAGGTTGGGTAGAAGCAGAGAGAAGTAAGTTAGAAAGGACAGGTCGCTTTTAAAAATGTATCCATGTATTGAGTGGTTAAGATAACAGTAAGTGGGGAAGGGCCTAGGCCTGGCCCAGGATGATGTGGTAGACTTTGGGGAGCCCCTTTTGAGGGTCTTACCCTGCCTGGGGAGTGGAGGGGGGATGGCTAGGGGTAGGTGGGATGTGGGGGGGGAGGGTAGGGAGAGGGAGAAGGGATTGACATCTGAAGCAAGCTTGTTCCTAATTTGAACTAATAAAATAAAATAAAATAAAATAAAGATATCAGTAAGTTTTATGGCTCTGGCGTGGAGTAGGGTCAGCCTTTAAGCTCTTTGATTTCTTCAGTGGGTTTCCTGAAATTACAACATTTTGGTTTTCACTACTAGAAAACTTTTTGAGTGGTTTTATTCAGTGTTGTGGGTTCTTTATAATTCCACTTTTGATTTTATAATGTTAGTCAGCTTATTTGCAGTTTCTAAAGCTGCCCCCTTGCCCCACACCAGACTTTGGCAGTCTGTTGAAGCCTATGAACCTATCTTGGAGTACTATTTTAAAGTGGGTAAGTAGCTGGACATGGTGAATGCCTGGAATCAGTCCTTGCATACTTGAGGCAAGAAGATTGCCAGGAGTTACAGAGTGAGTTCTAGGCCAGTGTGGGTCCACAACAAATAAGTACATAAATAAAATGTGTAGGACAGATTATGTAGGATAACTTTTAAAAATCAGTTCTATTGAAGTAAGATATACCCACAGCTAGAAATTGGTCTTCCTGTGAGTCAGAGGTAGCAGACAATGTATAGGATGATGAAACAGCTAAAAGCAGGCTGCTTGCACTGTTGTCTTTTTCAGGTGAGGGCCAAGTTCACAGTTGATGATTATAGCCACTATTTCTTCACACCCTGCATTCTTACTCAGTGGGTTCTTGGCTTGTTCAGATATGACTTAGAAGGAGGTGAGTTTGGGTTGTGTATGTGTAATTACACTGTAAGTTGTGCTCACAATAGGAACATTAAATATCGTAACTGATTATAGTATTTAAAATGACTATTATTACATTAAATTTAAATAGCTCTATTATGTTTATTACTATTAAGAGGGTAATAATTTATTGTATTCCTTTTTCCAACCTGTTTATCACTATACACATTTGATCTTAGAAAAGATAAAACATTTTCTTTCATGGCCAAACCAATATTATTATGCGTTTTTGAAATGATAATTTTATTGAACAACTATAGTGTTTAAAACATGCCACTTTATTAAAAGAATGAATACTAACTTTTTTCCCATTTCTTTTATTTACCTGCTGCCAAAATTATGGTATGTAGATCCTAACTATATTATGTTAAACAGACCTCTTGAAAATACTTTAAGACTTAACTACAAATAAAGAAACTCTTTGCCTTTCTTAGGATCTTCCAACCATCCATTAGATTATGTGCTAGAAATTGTAGCCTATGAAGCCCGGCGCTTGTTCCGGGACAAAATCGTTGGTGTGAAGGAGCTGCATTTGTTTGATAACATCTTAACTTCGGTGTTACAAGGAGACTGGGGCTCAGATATACTAGACAACATGGCAGGTAATAAAAGAGAGCTCATGTCAATGGGCAGTTGTCAAAGCTATTTTAAATTTGTTTCTGACCTGATGCATGATTTCATGTCTCAATAAATAAAACTTCAGATGATTTCAATTTTAATTTCCCCAAAAGGGAAGGTACCTAGCCATTTTGCTAGAATTCTACAGTTATAATCCAGATAAAATATAGTATGTACTTTCTTGAAAAGGGTGTTCAAACTTCTTGTTGTCTATTTGTAATACAAAGTTGTTTTTCCAAAAGAATTTTCACTAATAATGTAGCTGGCTACAGGGACACACCTGTAATCCTAGCACTTGAGAGTCCGAAGCAGGAGTGTGGCAGTTTTGAGGCCAGCCCTGTCCACAGAGCAGGACCAGTCCAATTAGGGCTATGTACTAAAAACCCTGTTTTAAAAAATTAAAAACCTAAAAAGACATTTTAGTATCTGATTAAATATGAAGCATAAAGGTGATTGAGAAATTGCTTACTTGATTATAATGCCACTTGTTTAAGAAGAAAATCATTGTTTTTCTCTGTAGCTCCCAATGATATCACCCTAGCTTAGCCCTAGTTTCCCCATTTTTGTGTAAATGGCCACATTTCGTTCAGAGCTGTGCTTACTTCATAACTGATTTGCATACTGGAAACTGCTGTGGGAGCATTGTGTAGTGGAGAACACTCCAATGAGGGGCCTATGAGAAGGACTTGTAAATGTTTCCCAGTGTGTAACAATTACCCAGCTAGACACTGTGCTAACAAATCCTCGTGCCGTACTCCTGTGTGCTGTACACTTCTAGATGTGATGTTGGCCCCGGGGCCATCGTTATACAAGTTCAAGGAAATATTGAAAGGAAGGCTATTGGGATTGACTGGAAGACTCTAGATATTTCCAGACATTTGGAAGTGAGAAGGCCATTCCAGGAATCCAGGGCATGGGCAAGTGCTGACAGTTCCATGTGATTTTAGTAAGGTTCTCATCATCTGCCTGAGGTTGTGGGGCCAGGCTCTCTGGAGAGGCTTTGTTCTTGGAGTCAGGCCTCATCTCAGCCTGGAAACTTGATTCAGTGATCTCTCTCTCTCTCTCTCTCTCTCTCTCTGTCTCTGTCTCTCTCTCCCCTTATTTTTGCCCCTTTTAAAATTTAAATTAGAAACAAGATTGTTTTGCATGTCAATCCCAGTTCCCTCTCCCTTCCTCCCCTGCCCCCCATTAACATCCTACCTATCCCATACCATTTCTGCTCCCCAGGGAGTCTATCCTATCCTTTGGGATAGGGCCCAGGCCCTTCCCTGTGTATCTAGGCAGTGGGCTCCCAAAGTCCATTCCTATGCTAGGGATAAGTACTGATCTACTACAAGAGGCTCCATAGATTTCTGAGGTCTCATCACTGACACCCACATTCATGGGGTCTGGATCAGTCCTATGCTGGTTTCCCAGCTATCAGTCTGGGGACCATGAGCTCCCCCTTGTTCAGGTCAGCTGTTTCTGTGGGTTTCACCAGCCTTTCTTCATCACTCCCCCCTCTCTGCAACTGGATTCCAGTTCAGTTCAGTGTTTAGCCCTGGGTGTCTGCTTCTACTTCCATGGGTGCATGCTGGTAGGATTTGCTGAAGGAGGCAAAGGCAGGAGGATCACTAGTAGTCTCTTGTAAAGATTCTATGTGCTTTGGAAAATATCAGTAGTTTTTTTTTTTTTTTTTTTTTTTTTGGTTTGTCAAGATAGGATTTCTCTGTTAGACCAGGCTGGCCTCAAACTTACAGAGATACCCAATAAACAAAAGCTGATTATTTCTTATTGTGCATTTGTTTGAAGATTTTACAATTAAGATTCAAGTTGTAAAGTTTGGTTACTAATACCATAGAGATGATGTTCCCTTTTCTATGCTTTATATCACTTGACACATGACCTCTTTATTTGGTGCTGTTAGCCTTGATTATGGAGGCATTTCTTAGCTTTTGGTATAACAAGTTAAAAAAAAACAATCTTTCCTTTTGTAATAAAATCCTGGAGATCCTTTAAAAAAGATATTATGTTTTATCATGGCATCTTTGCATATTTATATCATGTACTTTGCTTGTGTTTATATTCCATCAACCTCACTTGTTCCTTCTTTCCCCTTGTTTTAGTCACCTTCTCGCCACATAGTCTCCTCACTATTTTCATCTGTCTGTCTGTCTGTCTGTCTGTCTGTCTGTCTGTCTGTCTGTCTATCTATGTAAATAATACATCCATATATGCATTCATCTGTAGATGACCACTTAGGTTGATTCTGTGTCTTGGCTCTTGTGCACAGGTCCATGTGTCTTTGTGATGTATTTGTAGACTTAAAGTCCTTTGGCTACATATAAGAAAGTATGGTACAACTGGATCATGGGATAGTTCTCCTTGTAATTTTATAAGACTTTCCATTACTGATTTCTGTTTTCCACAGTTTATTCCATCAACATGGTACAAAGGTTCCTCTTTTCCTACTTTTTCAATAGCATTTATTATTTGTTTTGTTAATTGTGGCTGTTCTGACTCCGGAGAGAAGAATTTCCATGTAGTCTTAACTTGCCTTACCCTGCTGGCTAAGGATGTTGATTTCTATTCCCTGTACTTAATTCTAAGTTGTATATATTTTGAGAACTGTCTGTTCAAGTAATTCATCTATATATTAATGGGGTATTTTTGGTGTTGAATTTTTTTTAGATGTCATTTTAGATAGCAATCCTTTGTCAGATTAACTGGCAGAGCTTTTATCTGGGTCTGTTGGGTGTGGCTCCCCCTGCTGGGACCTTTGCTGTGGGGAAGCTCTTTTTCCTCAAGCAGTGCTATCTGTTGATTCCTGCTGTTGCTTGTCTCCCTGGACTCTTCAAGTGCTGTTGAGGAAGCCCTTGCCAATTCCTAGATCTCTGAGTTTCTTTTGGATTTCTCTCGAGTGTTTTCATAGTTGTAGGTCTGAAGGTCTTTAATCCATTTTGAATTCACTTTTGTGGGAGAAAAAGATCTCATTTGACTTGTTGATATGTGGATACAGAGCTTTCTCACAATTGCTTCAACAAGTTCTTTTTCAGTGTGTAGCATTGGGCATTTGTCAAAAGGAAAAAACAATGAAGTCCCAGGAAACAAAACCAATTAGTATCATTTGTCTATGTTTACTTCTGTTTGTCTTAACCTGTTCCAGTGATGTGCATATCCTCCATCTTTCCCTAAACCACACTGTCTGGGTTCCTATAGCTACAGCATAGAAAGTGTTGAAATTAGGTAGCCTTATTTCTTGTGGTGTAATCATGTCTCTGTCTATGTACAGCATGACAAGATTGTGATAAGCCTTATTTTGCGTCTTTATATTGGTTTGGAGTGAGTGAGTGTCTTTCCTCTGTAATCTTCTGATTCAAACACACAATATTTTATGAAAGCATTTGGGTCTTAGGTATTTTTCACAAGTAGCATATAAATCTGGTATATGATTTTAGATTTATGTTTTAAGCTTAAATTTTTTCATTGGCAATTATATGTGTCCAAGTTGGTTTTGGTTGTTATTGTATGAGATAGGATCACATTCAGCTGCCAGGCTAGCCCTGAATTAGCTATATAGCTCAGACTATCCTTGAATTCAAGATTCTGCTTCTGCCTCACAAGTACCTGGGACTACAGGCTTGTACTGGCAAAGTGGGTTTTAAAGGAGGAATGCATTGAGTGAAGAAGAGCTGAAGGATATTGCGATACGAGAAATCAATATGTAAGAAGTTCAAAGATGAGAAACTGAGTATATTTGCAGAGAGATGGGTGTGTTAGGCCTTAGTGGAGCTCACTTGTAGAGGGCGCTTAGTAGGACATTGGCGCTTTATTTCAGAGAGTGTGAAACTATGATAAAGGAATGATGCTGTGCAGTTGGAGTTTAGTTTTGTATGCATTCCTTTAGTAACAGCCAGGCTATACTTAGTATTTAGTATTTAGGCAGGGACAGCCAAGTAGGAGTCTAATGTGATAGTCCATATGAATTTTTTTTTTTTTTTATTAATTCAAGTTAGGGAACAGGCTTGTTTCACATGTAAGTCCCTTCTCCCTCTCCCTCCTCTCACCCCATCCCTTCTCCCCC